ATATGAGAATAGTATATATTAATTTAAATTAATTTTTAATTAAATTAAAACAATTTAACTCGGATGGAATAGAATATGAAAACAGCTAGATAGAAACATGAACGCTAACTAACCTATTAGGAGGTAGATGAGTTGGTTGGAACTCTTCTAGCTTAACTAGAGGTTTTGAGTTCAAGTCTTTGAAATGTAGTTCCGTTAAAATTCATGAGGGAAAGTTTTGCCACCCATTGAGGTCCTATCCTGCTCGATTCCAGATTAGTCAGTAAACCAATGTACTTATTAATACCGGATGGTCATACCAAAAAAAAAAGAAAAGAAAAAAGAAACCTGAACGCTAGTCGTCTACTCTTAATTTTCTGCATGCTAAGTGGCTGAAAGATGTAAAACAATTGACACCTGGCGGGGACCTCTAAAACCCTAATAAAACCTCGCCGCCGCCGCCGCCGCCGCTTAGTAACGAGTTTCTCCCCTGTTCTCTATTCTTCACCTGCTACCTTTCCGGCGGATACCTTTACTGATTTCTTGACAAGACTGGAAATTTCCTAGTAACCAAACAGAAATACTCAAATACAAGATGTTTTCTCGCTCTTTCCGATCAACTTCACTTCTCTTCTTCCACCGCTTTTATGCAACAGAAAGCTCCATTCCCATGGCTGCTCTGTCGCGTCTCATCTCCACACCCCAAAGCTACTCTTCTTTTACTGGAGTGGCGGAAAGTTTCGGATTTATTTCAGCTGCAAAACGTAATGCGCAGAACTTGGCACCAAATCTAGGTAACCCTTCATTCTCTTTTAAGCTCCACGACCAGCAACCTGTTCAATATGCAAACTTTTCGAGCATTCTTGAGTTTTAGTATTGAAATTTCATTCATATGCTGTTTTTGTGCCAATTTGAAAGGGGGAAAGTGTCGAAGTAACCCAAGTCAATCGATGGGGAAATGGGTTTGATAAATACAAGATTATTTAAAGATGGACTGAAAGAGGGAAAATGGATTAGTGTAAAATGAGAGCGCTTTATGTTTTAATATATAAGTGTGATATCTGAATATAATCTCATTTTGTTGCAGTGAGGTCTCTAACAACTACGGTTGAAACTGTTCTTGGGTTCGATGAGATGGTCTCTGGGTCCCATCGTAAGTTTTACTTCTTAGGTGGGAAGGGAGGTGTTGGAAAAACAAGTTGTGCAGCTTCCCTTGCTGTTAAATTTGCTAACCATGGACACCCCACCATTGTAATCTCAACCGACCCTGCTCACTCCCTGAGTGATTCTTTTGCCCAGGTATCAAATTGCAGTTCCTTTTTTCTTTGTTAAATGTAAAATTATCTGTATGTTTCTGAATTTATTTCTTATGAAAAGTTACTCAAGAGATTTGCTGATACTCTACTTCATTTGTTTTCCCTAGAATTTGACTGGAGGGATTCTTATTCCTGTTGAAGGGTTAGATTCTCCTCTTTTTGCCCTTGAGGTATTCCATTAGTGATGCCCTTGTATTGCTGTTCTATGATGGATTTGTTTCTACTTTTCCTTGTTGTTTGATGCATATGTGTTTAAATTTTAGCATTGTGGCAGCTAAACCCTGAAAAGGCTAAGGAGGATTTTCTTGCTGCAACTCAAAAGGATGGTGGCCGTGAAGTTAAAGATTTTATGGATAGCATGGGCATGGGAATGTTTGGTGATCAGGTGAAGATAAATCCCTCCATTTCTTTAGTATTGAATAATAAGTGTAGTCTTTACCTCCATTGAAGTTCTTAGGTGTTGTAGTTCCATGAAATGTAACACCTCTTAGAAGGATATTCTGCCATTGGCCTGCATGAAAGTAAATAAGCTTATTGCATGTTTTAAAGTTGATATTAATGGTTTGTTCAGTTTGCATCATTTCTTTTTATTTTTCCCATTGTAACCAAAGATCTAAGACTATTGTCTAGATTACTGAACTGGAATAAAAACTCAGAAGAATTGACGCATCTGCCTTTTGCTCTAGAGCACTTTTTAAATGGAGAATGATGGTTTCAAAATTTTAAATTCTCTTGGTTCTGTATTTGCAGTATAGTGGTGACTTCTTGTAGGCTTCTCTGATTCTCTAAGGGTGTTTCTTTTCCTTTTAAAATGATAATATCTGTTCATGCATGCAATGCTTATCGTGATTTCATTCTCTTTCTGATAATTTTTAGTTAGGGGACCTGAAACTAGGAGAGCTTTTGGACAGTCCACCACCTGGTTTTGATGAAGCTATTGCAATATCCAAGGCATGCATATTACCCTTGACCTGTTCCAATTAACTTGTAAATAATGGTATCCTTTTTCCTACATCTGAGACTTCCTTGCATTTTTATCCTAACATCCCAGTTGCTTTGCAGGTCATGCAGTTCATTGAATCCCCAGAGTATAATATGTTTACCCGAGTAGTTTTTGATACTGCACCCACGGTTAGTGAATATTTAACTGCTTCAGAATTTTTTAGTGTAAAGTTGTCCAATCCTCTAATAAAATGATTTATAGGGCCATACACTTCGGCTTCTGTCCCTGCCAGACTTCCTGGATGCATCAATTGGCAAGATAATGAAGGTATGAGTCTAAAATTTGGATTGAAATGGAAACTGCCTCAAGAAAAAATACGGCTAGCTTTCAAGCATTTTGTAATATCTAGTTTCATTATGGGTAACAAATTTATACTTATTTTTCTGCTTTTATATATGTATTTATTGAATACTTAATTACTTAATGGTTTCTGATCAATTCAGCTTAAGAAGAAGTTAGCTTCAGCAACTTCAGCTCTTAAATCTGTTTTTGGAAAAGAAGAAGTGCCACAGGCTGCTGTAAGGATGGAGGCCTTTTTTTTCTTTTCTTTTTTCTTTTCCAAGTTTTTTATCTGTCATTTAAAACCCAAGTGAGATGCATTCGAACATGTAGCCAGACAAACTGGAGCAACTAAGAGAGAGGATGGTAAAAGTAAGGGACCTTTTCCGTGATTCCAACACAACTGAGTTTATTATAGTAACCATCCCAACGGTAATGCATGCCCTGAGTTTGCCTCATTTCAGAGTATCACCAAGCAAATTGATTATCTATTTTCTGACTGATTCACTGTAATTTGTTTGAAATTACCCTTTCCAGGTAATGGCAATCAATGAGTCATCAAGGTTGTGTGCATCTTTGAGGAAGGAAAGTGTTCCTGTTCAGAGGCTCATTGTAAATCAGGTTCTACCACTCACTTCCGACTGCAAGTTTTGTGCAATGAGAAGGAAGGTACATTTTGTTGTTCTACTTTTGAGCTTATACTGCATGACCATCATAGATATTATGTTCACAAAGAGGTATATGAATCCATCAATGTTGCTCACAGCTTCTATTATGTTTATGAATGGTGCAGGATCAACTACGTGCCCTTGACATTATCCAGAAAGACCCAGAACTTTCAAGTTTGTGGTTAATCCAGGCACCCTTAGTTGATGTAGAGATACGAGGCATTCCGGCCCTTAAGTTTATGGGGGATATGGTTTGGAGATAGATTATCATTCTTTCTTGGGGTATCCATCTGATCAATTGATGCATCTTTTTTCTGGGAATTGTAAGTCGCCTTCAAACTATGAGGCAAAGTGGGTTTCAAACTCTGTTGATCTTTTCCTGAATTATATTAATTTTGAAATCCTTTAACTTAATGAATTTTCTTGACAATAGTCTGTACAAATTTATCATACAAAAACAAAAGAACCCAGTAATGTAAATGTTACATTTGAGTATTCCTATCAAGAGCTACTTATAATAGGACTGAGTTACTGCTGTATTTTTCTATCACCAAAAGAAATTATGTAGATCAGGTTCTTACTCAAACTTTTCCGATGTGCAACTGTTTCCTGCCTTCTTTACAATGATCGAGAATTTTACCCCGAGTTGGTCATTCCTATAATAAGCTGCTCTGAAGCAGGATTTCTGGGTATTGAACTTTCTCATTTTGATACAGAAACCACCGGAGAAATAAGCATCATATAAAGTATTGACGGCAGCGTAGCGTCTATTTCTTCATGAAGGTTAAAATGTAAAAGAAAGCAAAAGCACGGCTGCCGATACCTGTAAGTACAAGGAGGCCTAGACAACTACCAAAATGCTTGAGATCATACCCATTTTTCCAGAGAGAACCACACCTTGTTATCAGCCACACTCCTGAGTATCTGAAAGCCAAGAAAACAGAGGACATAGAAGCTTTAATCAAGATGTGGAGACACAATGGGAAAAAAAAATGATATAAAAAGGACATACAAGGATATGGCAAATCATGTCAAACCTTTTCGCATTTGATATCACAAATGCTTCCAAAGCCCACTTAGGGTAGCACACATTAGCTACGGCTTTGACAAACATGCTAGTATCATCAGAAGTTGCTAGCAGAGTCAAAACAACTGGTAGAATCACTGACCACTGCGTAATGCAGAATGAAGAAGGAAGTAAACAAGTGTTATTTTATAGAGTTTAATTAAATTCCCATTTTAGTAATAACGATTCTTACCAATTGAGCAGGACCAGGTTCAAAAACAAGGGCTAAGATGTATGCTATACCCGTTACACAGTAGACTAGACAGAGCAAAACCCAATAATTATCGATTATTGATGATCTTGGGTTGTTGAAGAAGTAGAACATTGAAAGATAGACCAGTGGCTTGATGATTGTGTTCAAGTGGTCAATTGTATCCTTTGCGAGGAAGTTGGCCAGACTGCTCATACCAGAAGAGCGTTCTCTCCAGTAGTGTAGCTTATCCAGAGAAAAGGATCTCAAAGCTGCAATCTTGGATAGGAGAGCTGGACAATATCAGATTGTGCATAGGTGAGTAGTGAAATTGAAAATCACCGGAGAAGTTTGCATGTCAGGAGTCCTCACTCCACAGACCCAAGTGAAACATAAATAAGAAGCAAATTTGTATATATATCCAGAACCTAAAGGGACTTGAACTTACAAACGGCAATGACAGTGTATGTATAACCCGTTGCACCAAATGTTTCGTCGCTCACTTTAGCAAGCGTTCCTAAGCAAATTCCAGCAAGTAATAAAATCAGATAATCCATAGCTTGTGCTCGAGCTTCCCGTAGCCGCTGCTTACCAACCCTGTGAAGAAGGAGAAAGTTTTATAAAATGAACAGTGCAAAGATCATTCCTTTTTCCCCAGAGAAAGTTTTATAGTACTGAATCCATTGCTCTTACTCTTCCCAGGGCATGTCATCCTGACAAACAAGTGCATTTACAAAACTTGGTTTTGTCTTAGTTATAACCATAAAGCATTTACAGCTTAGAAAATCTGAAAGAAACAAATATTTGAGGATAGAATGTTTTCCCTTCCATCTTGAAAATTTAAAAACTCAAAATTATAGTAATTATAATTAACCAGAACCAGTATAGCATGTATCTCAAGAAAAACAAAAGTAGAGGAACTACCTCCCAAGATAGTATCTGTACTGCTTTAACACGCCAGGGGTTTTCCTTTGTGATAAGTCACCTGACTTGAGGAAATTTAACTGTATGTTGTCCTTCTTTGTCTGAACACTACACTTCATCTCCTGCCAAAAGTCGCCAGCAAAAGACTGTTCCTGAGATTCAGCATCAGGAGCCGTTCCATCATGAGCTGAAATTTCAGCAGATGAGGATGAGGCCACTCCTTCCACACTATGTAGCATATCCAAAGGAACAGGGTATCCATTATGAAGCATCCATCGAACTGGAAGTTGTTGATGAGTAATCCCTGAACTTGTAGGTAGTTTTACCAAGCCCTCCAAAATGTCAATGTAGTAATCTGGGGGATTAATACGATCAGGGACAGTAATTCCAATGCTAGCAAAGTACTCCTCAACTTTCTTCACTGGTCCATGATATACTGTAAGACCACCCTTTGCAAGCAGTATCAAATCATCAAACATCCTGAACAAGGTGTAGCTGAAATCCAACAGAACATTCTAACCTGTTATCCTCAGAAAATTGAGAACATGGACAAAAACAAAATTTATTTCATGAAAGTCAGCATTCATTTAATTATATATTACCTTGGCTGGTGAATGACCATGCAAATGTTTACCCCTTCAACAGCTTCACGTCGAAGAGCTCTTAGTAGTAACTGGGAAGATGAACTGTCCAAACCAGATGTTGGTTCATCCAATATCAAAAGTGAAGGTTCCATTACCATTTCCAGCCCAACATTTACTCGTTTCCTCTGACCCCCAGATATTCCCCGCTTCTCCACTGTCCCAACGAGAGAATCCCTCACTTGCTGCAGCCCCAAAGACTCAACAACTCTTTCTACTACTAGAACCTTTTCAGCTTTTGGCAAATCAGCTGCCAACCTATAATAAACAGGAATCCAGCTGGTGATCAATGGAGGGAAAAGAAAAAGGAAAGGAAAAACACAATGCATTTCCTCCTACAGAGCCCTGCTAGCGTGACATATATAGAATGTATGCCAACAAAAAAGGACACTGTGGAAGAAGCAAAACAAAATTGTTGTAAATTTGTAGTTGTACCCAAAGCAAGTACTTTTGAACACTCATGCAGAAAATATATCATGCAAAACGCTAGGATTTATGGTTTATATATTAGAAGCAAGCATTCTTTCAATAAAAAAAAAAAAAATTCTTGGGAAACACAACGTGAGCCAACTAAGTTCTTAACATAAAATAAAGTTGCAAATGGATTATTAGTTTATAATTGATCACTTAGGTATATATGCCTGCATGATGGAATTAAGTATGTATACCGGCATTTTGCACTGAACCAGAGATTCTCCTCCACTGTCAAGTTTCCATGCACAATATCGTCTTGGGGAACAAAACCAATTACTTTCTTATATGCTTGGATTGGCTCATTCTTTCCATTTATAAGAACCATTCCACTCATGGTGCAACCTGCTGCTTTTCCAGTCAAAGCAGAAAGAAATGTCGTTTTTCCAGCCCCAGATGGACCCATAACAGCAGAAACTCGACCAGGAAATAATTTCCCAGTCACAGATCTCATCAGATGTTTGTTTTTCCCTTTCAAAGTGATGGTTAAATCTTTAAAAGCAACCTCAATTGTTAGCCTCTTCCTAATTTCAATATCACTAGCCATTGAAATTACGCCGGAGAAGGTGAAGTTCTTGTTCTGCTCCTGGAGAGCTTTCTCCTTCTCTATTTGGCCATACGCATATCTGAACATCTGGCTCTGAGTATGTAAATTCTTACCCTTTGGAGCATTTTTCTTAGAATTTTTACCTCCAATTTCTATATTGAAGCCTTCATGACTATCAGGGTCATCCTCTATGTCGTGTAACATCTTTGTGAGGTTTCCGTTCTCCTTTTTCTTTCCCTTCTTTGTTTGCTGGGATGATTCTGAAGCCATGGGTGGAAAGGCACCATCTGTTCCAGGTTTAGCTTGACCTAGACCCCTCAGCGGGTCTTGTTGCCTTTGAGATTTTACCTTTGAGAATGTACGTGATAAAGATGCTTGCAGCCCAACTGCATGCTTCCTAGCAACGTCTTTTGCAGATTTCCATTTTTCACGTGCTTGTGTTTCTCTTACACTTTGAACAGCCCTCTCTCTGGATTTTGCTTGTCTTTTCTCTCGGGTTGCAAGAACTTGGTCAGAGCAGTTGTATATAATGATGAGCAGGAAAGTTAAACCAGCCTACATTGGTAAGTTTAATTGTCAAATCAGAATACCATATCTGAATAAATGCCAATGAAGAGGTTAAAGATATACATGTATGCTTCAGGAAGATTGTGCAAGTTGTTTGATTATTTTGAGAAAAATATATATTATCAACAAGTGCCACTAAATAGAGTCATAGTAATGTAGAACAGGAAGCAAAGGTGAGGATAGAACTTA